ATCAATCTTAGATCCACCATTGATAAATGAGTATTCTTTTGCCGAAGAATACTTAGAAGTAATGAGAAAATCTAATGTTTTTATTTTCGAAGATAAATATCTATAGATAATGAGGCTTCATTTGTTATTCTCATTCTTGTATGATATTTCTGAAAAAAGATCTAACAAAAACCATATTTTTTTAGATCCAAAAAGTAGCCACTTTTGTTAATCGAGTCAATTCAAAATTGCATAGTCAAGAACAAGAAGAACGTGTACGTCAGATAAGTGATCGCATTGGTCCATTTGAATATGTTTCAGCACCGCCTGAAATAACTTCCGTACGTATTCTCTTATCATAATTTTTTTTATCTCTTTTTATTAAAATATGATCCCTTTTTTCTGTGCTCGATTAGATACTTCAAGAATATTATCGTGATTCATATTCTCATCGATTGGATCTTCTTCGTGATATGCCATTATATGTACGAGGCTATCGTCGTCAGATTATTCAACAAGGTCCAATGAAAATGAAAGATGCAAAAAATAGTCAAGATGTTTATTGTTATTTATTTACTGATATGTTTCTTATAACAAAAGGTGGTAAACGAAGTGGCGCAACAAATTCATCATCAACATCATCATCATTAACATCAATAAGTAATGATGGACAATTTAATCGTGGTACACCAACAACATTGAATAAAATTCTTAAACCACCAATACGTATTGATCGAATGGATGTTCGAGAATATGATCGTCGTGGTGGTGGAAGTAGTAGTAATAATGAACCAAATACTGTAAGTCATAAGAGACAAAAAAATAAAAATTATATATTTTTTTTTATTATTGTTTTTTTTAGGCATCATTTGTAGCATTAGTATTTTCTGAATATAATTTAATTGAATGTGGTTATTTATTTCAAACAAATTTAAGTAAACAATGGATTGAAAATATTCGTACAGCAAAAACAAATTTTCAATTATTAATGGAAGAATCAAAAATGAAATTACAAAATGCACATAATCATTCAACAACGACAACAACAACAGCAACAACAACAATTACAAATTCAAATACAACATCGTCTACTATACATCAATCATTACCTAGTCTATCATCAACATCTGAAATATCACTTGATTTACCTGCACTTAAAGCTGATGGTACATCTATTGATAGTTCATCAACAGATGAACCTATTGTTAATATATCAGTTGAATCTATTCGACGTTCATCGAAAATTGAATCTGATGTATTTAAAATTGTTGAACAAACTCGACGAAATTCTCGTACTGATCATAAAAATTATGGCCGATATTTTACAGCTGATGGTACGGGTACACATGGATCAAATCCGTCATCATCATTAACTAATCCATCGTCAATTAAATCAACACCATCAACAGCTATTATTAAACGTATGTCATGGAATAATGAACCAATAAATACAAATAATTCAACAACAATACCAAATAATGAATTAAGCAATACAAATTCATTTCGTAGTGTACATAGTTCAAGTGGTGTTAGTTCAACTGGCTCATTTTTATTTAGTGCTGATGAAGAGTCATCAATAACAACAGCAACATCATCATCATTACCAGTTCAAACATCATCAATTAAAAATAAAAATGATGATTTAACTGATGAACTTGATGAATTAGATGGAAAAAGTTCATCGTCAACTGTTATTGGTACAGATGATCATGAACATTTAACTAATTCAATATTATCACAAGAACAAAATACTACATCTTCAATTTTAAATTCAAATGATTTAAATAATGATGATATGATTAATAATATAAATAGTCAACATCTAGTCAGTAGACTATCAACATCAAGTACAAATACACTAATTCCATCAAATAATCAAGATATAATTGGTTTGTCAAAGTTTTGAAACGAATTTATTTATATTGAATTCTTTTTTTGTTTTTTTCTAGAATCTGCTCCATCGAATAATACTCATATGTCATCACCAGAATCATCATTACGTCGAACACCATATCCTAGTGTAAAAAAACGTAATCAAAGTCATATTCATTATCGTTCTGGCGTTGGACAACAACAGCAACAACAACAAAATCTTTTTCGTCGACATAGAATTTTTAATGAAAATGATCTACGCTGTTCAACACATAATGTTGTTTATGATTCATCGAAAGCTAATAGTGCATCAACATCTACACCAATACGACGACCTATTATACCATCAGATGATAATAATGTGATAGTATCATCATTTGGTGGAAGTGGAAATGAAAGTGATTATGATAATAATCAATCTAATACAGATTACTCTAATTTATCAAAATATTTTTCATCAACATCATCATCAAAACGATTGTTTAAAATACCGGTGAATAATTTAAATCGTTTTAATGAATTAACACGTACAGATGATCTTTTATTGGGTGATCAAAATGAAATTATTCTTAATAATAATTCAAATATTCATTCAATAATTACTAATAATGATGATAATAATAATAATAATGATGATGATGATGATGATGATGATAATACTGATGATGATGATGAAGATGGTGTTGATAAAGATCATACAGAAGCACACGTTGAACTATCTGATGATAATGATGATATAGATGGTGATGAAAATACAATTCTATCAACAATTATTAATAATAATCCATCGTCAGATAATAATATAATATTGTCGACTAATTCTCGTCAACCATCATCAAATCATCGACCTAACAATGTAACTTTTATGAAACCAACAAAAACAACAACGCTAGATGATAGTGCACCATCGAAATATGTTGGATATGCAAAAGATCCAATAACGGCAAGAAAGTTACTTGATATTCGAAGTCATTTATTATTAAATACTACACTTGATGCAACGTAAGTTTCTTTGTTTTCTTTTATGTCAATTTATATATATTTGAATTTTCTTTTTTTTTTTGTTTATTTAGAGAAGTATAACCATAACATGGAATTATCTTCTTTTTTTGCTTCTTCTTTTTTTTGCTGTTGTTGTTTTATTGCTATATATATATATTTTTTTGTTCTCATTTTTCTCATTCGGAAAAATCTTTTTTCTTTTTGGCCTGTGTGCGATAAACAAATAAAACAGAACAGATTTTTGTATAGATTTCATGCATGTATATGCTTATTTGTGTGTATTGTGTAAAAAATGTACGAATGCAAAAAAGAACAGATTCTGTCTAAATGACGACTTATATAAATATGTTTTTGATGGTGTTATCTGAGAAGGCGAAAAAGAAGAAAAAAATCTGATAAACTAAAGTCAACAACACTAATTAAGGCATGTAACAATATTCGTATGACCAAAAAAAGAAATGATAATAAGTTTTCAGAGTAGATTTAATAAATAAATTAATGATAATCTACTGAAAAATTTATAAAAAAAAAATAGTTCATTGAGGCTTGTTTTTGTTTTTCTCTTTGTTGCTTATGATTTTATGGTTGCTATTACTCTTGGGAGTTACATTCAATGTTCCTATAAATTAAAAGCTTTTTTCGTAATCACAATAATTCATGTAAATGCTAGTATTCTCAATCGAAGACTTGTAGTATTTCATAAGGTAGATTGAAGTCAAATTGCTTCTATTTTCAGACTTTGATGAAACAGTTTAAGTTTGACAGTTTTCTAATGAACAGTAGCTTCTAGAGTTTCTTTGTTTGAGATCTTATGGGATTTTTCTGTAAAGTTCGCTATACGTTTTGTTATTAAAGGAAATGAATTAGACTGAGAATGATGGCTCACCCATAATAGACTAATGTTATCTTTTAGTATAGTTAAAATGAAGTCCACACTATTAATATATAAATCCACAGGATTAAATAAATCCCAAAAAGACAAATCCCAGTAGTCTTTCCTAATGAAGGCAATCTGAATGTCTATAAATAATTTCTGAAAAATGAAAATTCGCTTTTTTTTTTTTTGTTTGTTTTTTCTATTGAATATACTTTTCAATAGCAATTACATGAAAAAAAAATCAAAGTAAGGTTATTTGGTATGTGTCAAAAGACAGATTAATCAATATATTTTATTTTTCTTAATTAGGATAATTTCGGTCGAAAAGAGTCGATTCATAGAATTTTTAAGATGATTAAAATAATTATTCTCTTTTATATGAAGTATTAACAGATAAATAATAGTCAATGAACGTCATAAACAATATAAAATCATTCAAAAGGTTTTCTATCTTTTTCAATCTATCATAGAGATAGTAAGGTTTATTATTTTTTTTTCTTTCGTTGACTTGACATATGAAGAAGCCATTCTTTTTCTTTTGTGTCATTATGAAACGGAATTAAAAATACTTCATTTATTACAGAGAGTCACGCATATATATATATATATAAACATCTATTACTATAAAATAGAAACATCTATTACTATAAAATAGAAACATTTCAAAATAACATTCAATACAGATGACTCCATCTAAAACATATTCTATTCTCCGACTATTTTTTCTTATTTATCTATTGCATATGAGTAAGAATATAATCTTTTATAGAACTTAGAATTAATATTGTTTTTTTTTTAGGCTGTGCTCTTGAATGTAAAACATGCCAAAAAGATAATCCCGATTGTTTATTAGCAGAAAATGTTCAAACTCGTCATTGTGAAAATGATAATGATCTTTGCTTTTCATGGTTTGACCGTACAGGTTAATTGAAATTTAATTTCGAAAAAAAAAAAAGAAAATTCTTATTATTTTATATAGGAAGTGGAATTGGCGTTCAACGTGATTGCATATCACCTAATGAGGCCGACTATAAGATGATAAAACGACTGATTGGTGAAAGACATAGTGGATGTGTGAAGCGTATAAATGGCCTAGATTGCTTTACGTTTTGTGCGCTTAACAAATGCAACTAGCGAAAAAAAAACGCTTTATATATTCTGTTTTTCTTTCGTCTTAAATAAATATGCACTCGGTTAAGTAAACATTGCTTTACTTTTCAACTAGTCAGTTGCTTGAATATCAAGTGAAACAAAGTAAAAGAAATAGAATATGTCGATCATACGATTTTTGTTACGACCATTACAACAATCACCTATTCGTTGTTCATCGACATTAAATCAAGTTATTGATAAACGTTTAAATCCTGAACTTGATTCTATTCGACAAGCAGGTACATGGAAAGCAGAACGAATTATTTCAACAAGTCAAAGTGCACATATTAAAGTTGAACATTCAACAAATGATCTTTTAAATTTTTGTGCAAATAATTATTTGGGTTTAGCAAATAATAGTGAAATAATAAAAGCAGCTAAAAATGCTCTTGATGAATATGGAGCTGGTCTAAGCTCAGTACGATTTATTTGTGGTACACAAACAATACATAAACAACGTAAATAAAAAAAAAAACTAATAAAATCAAATAGAAAAAAGAAAAAATTTATTTTCGAATATTTAGTTGAACAACGTATTGCAAAATTTCATCAACGAGAAGATGCCATTCTTTATATATCGTGTTTTGACGCTAATGCAGGAATTTTTGAAACATTACTTAAAGAACAAGATTACATTATTAGTGTAAGTAATTGAATTTTGTTTTCAACTATCTACTTGTGAAGAAAAAAATCAAATATCATTTTTTCTTTTTTACGTCTCTAAATTTTCTTATTGTTCAATATCATCACGTATATGTTATCTTACTCAATCAACGTTGAGAATTTCAAATTAGTTAAGAAACCTGTAAAAATATTTTATGTGACTCTAGTAAAGTTTTGTTCTTTTTCTTACCGTGTTTCTTTTTTTTATCTCTTTCGTTGTTGACATTAAGAATTACAGGAGAGAGAAGAAAAAAAACAGAATTTAACGATTCTTTTTTTCTTTGCATATTCTCAAGTTTTGTTCTAAGACTTTTCATTGCTCGATGCATTTGCTTTAATTCGTAATTCTTTATGTTAAATAAACACCAAAGTCTGAAAAGCTTTCTTACAGTACCCAGAAAAGGTCACAACACATATATGTAGATTTCTTAAGTAATTGTACATGTTTACAGCTGATGCTTTCAGCGCAACCTAAATAACAAGATATGTACTTGCTGAGATTAAGCCATAAGCATCTAATGACATATTCGAAAACAACAATCGATGTTCCATCTAATTGACAAACAGGAACATATATATATATATATAAAATTGTTGTCAAAATAATCCTCATGGGATAGAAAAGTATGATAAGCAATAAACGAAAAAAATAAGTAATTGATCGTTTAGTAAATTGTAATATATTACAAATAACTATGAACATACATCGAAAGATAAACATTATAGAACATGACTCGGGTTCTTGATTAGGAAGGTTAGGTGTGGAATTCCTCATCTCTCCAAAATGTCCGACTTTCTGCCAATTTTTTACAGCTTCATGGTAACTTCGAACAGATATCGAGTTTTTGAAATATGATTTGCTTTTCTTGAGCAGAAAGCAAAATAAAGATAAGAAAAATAGTGTCATAGTATTAAGGTAGGCCTTGAGGCAGGGACGGTCTAGTAGAAGATCGTCTGTTATCGAAGACATCAAGTCACTACTTCTAGCATTCCGAGAATGAAAGGACTTTCTGCAAGAACTGTTAGTCGTTCCAACATCTGAAAAAAATAAGATAAATTAACAATGTAATATTGTTTATCTAATATAGGATGAATTAAATCATGCATCAATTATTGATGGTATTCGTTTATCTAAAGCTAAACGATTACGTTATAAACATAAAGATATGTCTGATCTTGAATTAAAATTAAAAGAAAGTCTTAGTGACAAAAATGAAAATATAATTCGATTAATTGCTACTGATGGAGTTTTTTCAATGGATGGAACAATTGCACCATTACCTGATATTGGACGTTTAGCAGATAAATATAAAGCATTAATTTTTGTTGATGAATGTCATGCAACTGGGTAAAACATATACATAAATTTCTTTCTGAATTTATTAAAACAAATTCATTTGTTTTTTTCAAAAGATTTTTTGGACCAACAGGTCGTGGTACAGAAGAACATTTTCAAATGATTGGAAATATTGATATTATTAATTCAACATTAGGAAAAGCACTTGGTGGAGCTGCTGGAGGATATACAACTGGACCAAAAGCACTTATTGATCTTTTAAGACAACGTTCAAGACCATATCTTTTTTCAAATACACTTCCTCCGTTAGCATATATTAAAAAAATTTTATTTTTAAAAATTAGTTTGTTTTTTTGTTTCTAGTCCTATTGTAGCTAGTGCTATGAAAGCTATTGATTTAATTGAAAACGACTCTAGTTTACCTGGTCGAGTACTTGAAAATGCTAAATATTTTCGTACAGAAATGCAAGCATTGGGTTTTAAAGTATTAATTTGTTTATTTTCTTTGAACAAATCCATTTGTTTTCTTTTTTTAATGTATAGATTTTAGGTGATAATCATCCAATTTGTCCAGTAATGCTTGGTGACGCTCGATTAGCAAGTCAATTTGCTGATGAAATGCTTAAACGAGGAATTTATGTTATTGGATTTAGTTATCCTGTGGTAAATAATAATCTCACAAAAAGAAATTCTTGAATAAATTTCTCTTTGCTTGTTTTCTAGGTACCAAAAGATCGTGCTCGTATTCGTGTACAAGTATCAGCTGCTCATTCAAAAGCTGATCTTAAACGATGTATTGATGCATTTGCTCAAGTTGGTCGACAACTTAAAGTTATCCAATAAATTTTTTTTCGACGATCTAAATCGTTAAACATTTTCAAAATTCTTAGAATATTGTAGAAGTAATGTATTTCTTCTAAGAAACGAAACAAAAAAAAATCTTATGAAATAAAATCTTGAAACCTGATCTTTCATGCAATGATTATTTGTTCTATTATGAATAGATATTCTCATCAAAGACAAGCTTTTCTTTCCTTTGCTCTTGCATTATGTGTTGACAAGATTGATATTTTCTCCATTTTCTTTCTATTATACGCTACAAATGTCATATAATCTATTTTCATTTATTCATTTCCCATCGATAAATCCTTAGGGTTGGTTGAAAGCTCTAACAAAATTAAACAAAAAATATAAAGATAAGGAGATATTTTTCAGTTTCTTTCTATTAAATCTTCAAAATAGTCGTCATAATTATTTATACAAAGTTTCACACTGTCTACTAATTTGTTAAATGTTTTTCTTTAAACTCTTCTTCTGGAATAATGTTAATTATCTTAGAAACCGTATGAGTCAATTATTTTCTTTTGCGCGATCAATTCAATTACGTTTGATATAATCATTTAGCCAAAAACCAGATGGTGAAAAGTCTGGTGAAAACAGTGGATGTGACATTATGTTGACACCTTCTTTTGTTAAATAATTAATAACATCTGGATGAGTATGAAATTGAGTATTGTCCTGAAGTAATTTTATGCCATTTGCACTTGATGACTTTCTTTATTTCCGTATTTTATTGACAACAGACTTAAGGTAATTTTCAATATAATAGGTGTGCGTTATGGCAGTGATCGAATCAGGAGGACTTGAGTCTCTCTATTCGAAAATCTTGACACCATCACTGATCTACTGTCTTTCCTTTATCAATACGATGCATAAAAATATATGATTTAAAGAATATCGAAAACAGAATTTTTGGTTAAAATGTATTTTGGCGAACAATAGTTGTTGATGATTTATGTCCACTCATCTAGCTTCTATTAATTCACTTACGTTCAACTTGTCTGTGATAAATAAATCCCATGTCGTTTTAATCACGATTCTTCTGCTGAGTGTTTTTTTTTCTATTTTCGTGAATGAATATTTTTAAACTCTTAGAAAAATGCTAAATGTCATTCAAAATCGCTTTACTTTATTGCTACGAGCGCGATCATGCCACATGTTCTAGTCAAGTCAACTATTGTCGCTTAGTTTTCTAGCTTGATCATTCATTAAAGATGACACTGCAACAGTAGTCATTAGCTCGATCGAATACCTACAACAAATAGGAAGCGTGGCGCCATCTGGCACAATATACTGTAGCATCTTAAAATTGACTTTTTTGGATTCTTCTACACGATACACACACTTCTTAACACACAAACACGTATTCAATCACACACAACACGGAGTGCGAGTATGTGCGTACCATGTAGGAAGTAACCTGTTTTGAGTTGAAATCGATCTCTTCAAGACTAAAAATATTAGTTTAATAGAAAAATATGAAAAAATTGATAAAAAAGAATCACACTACAAGAACGGTCGATTTCGATGAAAACTTGATGGCATAGGGTATCTTATCATCTGTAATAATATTAGATAATCACCATGGCCCATCATGAAATTTCGCTAAATTTTCACGAGGCATAGCTATAATATCATCATCAGTTGAACGCGATTTGTTGTCAATAACCTATTGTACTAGTTCGATTGTAATATGTGTCGATTCAGAAAATGACTAATCAGATCGATACAAATCATTAATATAATCTCTTTCTACAACAGAAACATTTTTGTTATCTTGTAACTGTTGGATATGTTAGTGCATTAGATTCCAATGCTATTGTAAGCTCTTTGTGAATTGTCTTTGGATCTATTTCTAAAATAGTTTGAATTTTAATATAGTATCGACTGAATTTATTATCCATCTTTTTTTATGGAGATCGGATTTTATCTGGCAAAATATCAGATTTAAACTCAAAATAGAGTTATTATATATTTTATTATCGATGCGACATTCTACGATTGACTCATGCAACAGACTCTTGAATGTTAAGTAGTTTATAAAATTGTCAGCAACATTGTCACAACCTTTGGCCAGACCTAAGTATAATCATAATTTGTGTTCTTTGCACTCTCCTACTTTATTACATCACAAAAACACATTATAAATGAAATATCTAGAATGTCATTTCTCATGATTTATAAGAACAAATGTTCTCTTTTGATTGACGGTTATTTCTATCAGTGAAATAAACTCACCACGCAAATGAATTTGCTGAATGTCAAAGAAGAAGATAAGTATTGCCCTTCAAGAATGAGTTCAATTACTTCAATTTGTACTTAACTAGAAGAAGATAAATCTCCGTAACCTTGTCTATGAAGGGTTTTTTCCTATGTTAAGAGTAAAAATTTATACTCTATTATTATTAATCTTTATACACTTTCTCTAAAACGTTATTCTGAAGTCATAAATCTCTTAAATAAAATTTCGAGTGCATTTACATACTATCAGATTACCACAATCTTATATAATCATGGCAACTATGGAAGATTTTTTGTTCGAGATTTTCATTCTTCGAAACTATTTTTTCGATGATCGAGTTCCTTTTTTTCTATAATAATATTGACTGTTTTGGATTTGAATTCCTTGATATTCTGTCTATGTGACATTTTCTTCAAGATTTTTCTTCCGAGCCTTAATGATCATGACAGAAAGTAACATAAATCTAATGTTCTACTTTCATTGATAAGTAAATCATGATCAAACAATAGTCCATCGTGCTCTATAAATATCAGCTGAATTAACACTGTGTGCTGCACCTGTATTTATCTATATGGCATGAATTATAAAACAAGAAAGGCTTATGGTGTAGTCTGATTCTAAAAAAAAAGTTTACATGTTAAGTCTGAAAAATCGAATCTATGACACATTGTTTTATAACAATGCTATTGAACGAAGTTGAACACCGAAAACAACATGAGAGATAGGAATCATACGAAAGTAACTAACTTTCAATAGAATACAATCATTTGGAAGATACCATAGTGATAATAAAAACAAAATTATTTAAAAATCAAAAGCGAAAGTTGATAATCTTAAATTTATCAAAAGAAAATCGAAAAATATTTGAGAAGAGTATCGTACTATTAGAAAATTTCTGTTAGTAGCAATCGAATTCAAATGATCGAATGAAAAGAAAAGAAAATTATTCATACTCGTGAGCTTGTCTTTTATTATCAAACACAAGAATAGTTATTTTATATTGTGTGCTCAACTATCTGATTACTTTGATAAGAATACTCTCGTGATTCACGATATATTTGAAAGTTATTCATCAAAATGATTGTTTCACCTATGATACTGATTTATTCTTTCCTTAAATAGAGATTTGCGCAAGCTTTGATTGAAAGAAAAGAAAGAACACCTACACTCAGATAAGAGTCGTTGGTACTAATCCGACTGAGGTAGATATATAAATAGACACACAATATGAGTATCATTCACAGATATATTGGTTGCGATTCATTGACACAAGAACAACAAAAAATACAATATGTAAGACGATCGATCGAATAAATATGTCTATTTAATATTTTCAATTTCTAATACAGAATATAATCATGTTTCAAGAAGGAAAATCATGGCCCGAATTTGTTGGTAAAAATGCCAATGAAGTCGAAAGTCAATTAACAGCTGAAGGTATTTTTATAGTTATAATTGAAATTTTAAATATTCTATTCTTTTATTTAGGTTATCATCCTGAAATAAAACCTGAAGGAGCACCATGTACCCGTGATTATCGTCCCCAACGTGTTCGTTTATTCGTCGATGACAATAACGTCATCGTTCAAGCACCACATACTGGTTAATTCATTAAGTTTTTCTTCAATAATGAACATTTTTCTTTATGTTTTTTTCTTCGTATAACCTTCATATTATTAAAGTTGAAAAAAAACTTGAACGAGAGAGTTACATATATATATATATTGTTATACAGATTATAAAAAATGAACACAAATAATGGGAAATACATAATAATAATAGATGAGATTATATGTTACAATAAAGACAAAGAAATCTATAGGCTTTTATCAACGTTTTAATGAAAAGAAACGATAGTTGTTTTTTTTCAATACAACATACATAATACTTGGACAAAAAAAAGAAAAAACATATAACTAATAGATAGCACAAAAGAAATGGTTAATCAAGTTTAGAATGACAAGAAAGAAAAAAAAATCTCTCGCTCTTTGGTTTAGCACAATGAATTCTGTTCTTTTTTCTTTTCTTTTTTTCTATAAAAGTTTACAACCAGACTTTTTAACTTTTTTCGGTGGTTCAAGTGCAGCTAAAATAGCTTCATCAAAGACATTCTTTAAACCTTTCTATAAAAGAAAAGATTTGTTTTATTATTATTATTCAAAAAACAAAAGAAAATGTTTTTCATACTTGTGTTAATGCACTACATTCAACATATTTAACAGCTTTTAATTCTCGTGCTGATTTTTCTCCCTGTTCAAATGATATTGCTTTTTGACGTGATTTTTGTAATTTTTCTATTGTATTTGGATCTTCTCGCAAATCAATTTGAGTACCAACAAGTAAAAATGGTGTTTTAGCACAATGATGTGATATTTCTGGCACCCACTATTACAAATTAATTAAATAAATTATTGTTTTCTTTTTGTTGTTTCTTACTTTTTCACGGACATTTTCAAATGATGATGGTGATACAACACTAAAACATACAAGAAAAACATCTGTTTGAGGATAACTCAATGGACGAAGGCGATCATAATCTTCTTGACCTAATTTTTAAATAAAAAAATTATACGAATAAAAATTCTTTTTTATTTTTTATTCTTACCAGCTGTATCAAATAAACCTAATGTATAAGGTTCACCACCAATCATGACTGTTACTGCATAATTATCGAATACCTTAATGTTATATATATTTGAAACCTTAATCAAACTTTAAGATAATTCTTACAGTTGGAACATATTCACTTGGAAATTTATTAGTTGTATAACTAATTAATAAGCATGTTTTTCCTATTGAAATAAAATGATATTAAATAGAAAAAGCAAATGAAAAATTTTATTTCTTTGTACCAACGGCACCATCTCCGACGACAACACATTTGATTGTTTGCATTGCTAATAATCTTTTTGTTTTTTTTTTATCAAGTAGATATATATATATATATATATATGTATGAGTTTTTTAATGATGACGAGATGAAGTATAATCTGCTGAATAAACAAATAAACAAATGAAATAAATGGATGTCAACGAAGTACGAATTAGAAAAAAAGAATTTTATTAAAAAGTGACCTCTATTGCATAGAGCGCTACAATCAAACTTGAAAAAAATGATTTATTGTTTTTTTAGGAATCTTTTTTTTGTTTCAAGTAAATATAAACAAACAAACAAAACGAAAAAGAAACGAACATGTTTTTTTTCCTTGAAGTTATTATAGAAGTTCGCAAGTACGTTTTTCCGGATTAGAACGTCGTGATTTTTGTTTAAGTGCAACCATAATTGCTTCATCAAAGACATGTTTTAATCCTTCCTAGAAAATAAATAATAAAATAGAAATTTAATAATTTGAGTAAAACAAAAAAAAAAAATTTACTTGTGTTCGTGCACTACATTCAAGATATTGCGAAGCTTTAATATCATGTGCTAATTTTTCACCTTGTTTACGTGTTATTGGTCTTTCATTTGATTTTTGTAATTTTGCTAATGTACTTGAATCATCTCGAAGATCAATTTGTGTACCAACAAGTAAAAATGGAACTTTTGGACAATAATGTGATATTTCAGGTGCCCACTATCATATATGATGATGAAATAGAAATATAATATTAATGGACTGGAAAATTATTTTATACTAACTTTCTCTCGAATATTTGCAAATGATGAAGGTGATGCAATACTAAAGCATACTAAAAATACATCAGTCATTTGATAGCTTAATGGACGAAGACGATCAAATTCTTCTTGACCTAAATAATTAATGAATATTATACATACAAATCACAACAAAAAAATACAATGCAAGTTTACCAGCTGTATCAAATAAACCTAATGTATATGGTTTTCCATCAATCGTTATTGTAACAGCATAATTATCAAATACCTATAAATAAATGCTTATAAGAAATGCTCACAAAAACACTATGATAAATGAAACTTACTGTTGGAACATACTGAGTAGGAAATTTATTTGTTGCATATACGATTAACATACATGTTTTTCCTAATTAATTAAATGAAAATAAAATATAAAATAATGATTGTTTTTTTATCTTACCCACAGTACCATCTCCAACTATAACACATTTAATAGTTTGCGTATTCTCTTTCATTTTTGTTTGCGCAAATTAATAAGTAAAAAAACGACTATTGAAGCACCTTTCGTTTTTCTCTTCACCTTGCTAATGCAAACATATATTCGGCCTGACTCTGATGATGACTGTACTCGATGAAAAAAACAAAAAGAAAAAAACTGAATGGAGAATTTTTTTCATGTCATATCACCAACGACATATAAACAGCAGAGAATATGTATAAGAAAGAAAGCAAGTTGTTTTATGTCAGTTTAAATCATTCAAAAATTAAACTAGGTAATTATATCAAATTTTTACAAGCTAAAAGAAATACAAAAAGAAAAAGGAGAGAAAAGAACCAATCGTCTAACAAAAAAAAATTCTTTCAAACAAAAGTTACTAATAATTCAGACGGGATTCAAAAAAAACAATGTTAGATATAATGTTACACGTACTATATGAGAATATTTTAGTCAATCAAAAGTCTTCAGCAAAGGTATCGATAATATCATGTTAAAATAGAAATAAGAAGTTAAGAAGAAAGTCATGTATAAGAACAAGAAAAAGACCGTAGAAGTCATGAAAAACAAATGAATTGGGAATAAAGTCATCTAAATGAGTGCTTAAAAAAAATTATTTGTTTATCGAGCGACGTCCTATATATTGTCATAAATAAATGAGTGATAATGAAGTTAAACATTTCAACATTATTCTAGATGATGCTTTGGAATAAATATCATAACAAATGAAAAATTGATTTGATGTCATCTATTTTTAGATTTGTTTGTACATTTTATCAATAATTTTTCATCAAAATTTTTAACTGATTGTTTATTAACATCAAATATGTCGATTGAATTGATCAAATCATTTTAACTATGCTAACATTTAATTTAATAAAGATAAGCAAAGAAAAATTAAATTCTTATTTTCTGTATTAATTAAAAGAAGAAGATTGAATAATCAATGAGAAAAAAATACCTAACTGTCTTTATTGCCTATTGTCATTAAATGTAGTGAGTTCCAGGTAATCGATCATGCTGATTCTGAATATCAATATGAGACTAGCAGATAGGACTTGAGAGATCCATTTAGATTGTGAAGCACATCGAGTTGAATATAGTACATTATTTTTTTTTTGTTTTGGCTACTATTACAGAAGTCACTAGAAACATACATCTTTCTTTTCTACAGTAAAGATTATCTTCTTGTCTTTCCTTCTCGCTTCCTCAAAGAAATATGTTATAGAATAAGTGTCATTATTACTTAGGATGAGATGTGCATGGTTAGGTGATCTTCGCACATCCCATCCTATAAGATTGTAAACTTCTTGAATCAAATAATGAACGATAAGTAGAATTCGTACTTGATGTTATTATGAAAATCATCTACTAGATAGTGAATACTACATGCAAGTATACATCTGCATTGAAGAATAGCCATTTACTCATATACACTTAGTTCTAAAAGCATTGCATTAAATGAGCAGTAGTATTGTTGAAATGTCAGAAATTCTGTTGCCTTTAGACTTCCCTAGAGTCGATCAAAAATGGAAAAAAACTAATGTTTTATAGTCAACTTGACATACTCTACCATCTGGATACAGTAATAAAGTTTTTCGCTAAGAAAAACTGGTTTTTATAGAAAACGGATCTATAGAATCCTAGCTATCCGCCTCGTATTGATACTCGAAGTTATCACAGACGATTATCTATAGCCCACTATATTTGATGAGAAAAAACGATTAGACAGTAACAGGCTTTCCGTCATTAGTTACACAATATTATCTTATTTGAAAGATATCTGTTCACTTATTTACTATCGGAAGTCAACATTCACATTGTGTTCCATCCTTTCAAAAATAGAATATTAAATTTTGTTTGAACGATGAACGACATTCGTCAGATAGATTGTATGATTTTTGTCATAATGTTTTACAAACCATAATTGATTCATCTCTTAGATGCCGTACGTTAGTTTATACTAATAAATCAAACATATATTTGAGCTTCAAAAACTTCATCTTTGAAGAACACTGCTGTACAAATTAATGATTTATTTCAATCCATATAGTTAATTTACTTTGAAAAGAAAATGAATTATTTATTCAATATTTATGGCATGTTAGGCGCAACAAAGTACACGTACCTTTAATTTGACATTGATTCATTATAAGAATTAAGTTTTCTAAACAAGTTCTTTTAGTGGACCATTAAACTAAAAGTAATTATCTAATTTCGCTCCAACCATACGAGAAAAGAATCTGAAAACTTAAGGATAGACTCTACGGCACAAACTGTATCTTTCTTGAAATTTTCAAAGATCGTATCAAGTTCCGAAACAAAAATGTTCATCTTATCATCATCATCTAGAGGTTCTGAAGAAAGGTTTGTATCATTTGGAATTGGCTTTGAACTTCTCATTGAATTATAAGAGCATTTCTTAGTTCTTCATGATTAAACGAGTTTTGTTTTTAGAAATCTAGACCTTTGTAGACAAAAAACTTTGGATAGAGATTTTGTAACTTCACAAGTTTTCTACACAACGTACGATTTAGTTTTCAAAAACATTGCCTCAATTCGGGGTATTTTTATACTACAATGTACGAAATGAAAATTGATGTTCTTTTTAACGTTAGTTTTTCTATTGATAACTCCTCTGAACAAACGTCTCTGGCGTTGATTTTTCTAGGATATCTATACTAACTTTACATACATGTAACGTATAAATATTAACTCTAGAAAAAATTATTATCCCAAGAAAGATGTTTTAATTTTGTGAACTCATATGGTTAACGAATGATATATTAATTAATGAGAGAGTAATTGTTGGTAATATTTCTCTAATATAATTATTGATGTAATCATTCTTTCCATGAAACCCTTATTATATAAAATAAAGAAATGAACAAGATAAAAGGATCAAAATGGATGTTTTCTTTTTCAAAAATCTACATATGAAAAGAAGAACGCTAAGGTAATAAGTCAAGGAGAGTTTTTAATGATGTTGATCAGTATGATGATCATGCGAATGCGGCTTATCCGGATTGTATAAATGAATATGTCCATGAAATGGTGGAAAAGCTTTTTCAAATAATTTTTCTGTTATAAGACAAGCAGCTAAAGCTACCATAGCATAGCGTAAACCAAAGAACGCAGTACGTAAACTAATACGCCATGTTGGATAAGCACCAAATTTTGGATCATATAACCATGCTTGATTTCGAATCCAAGGATCACGAAGACCTTTATTCGCTAATTTTGAACGATGATTTTCTAATTCAGGTATACCATCGACTTTATATGAACGCCAATCTAAAAATTAATACGATAATATAACATATTTAAGAGTTAATTTAGAACTTCATTTTCTTTTACCAGGAATACGAAATTGGCAAGAATTAGGAAAACGATCTGGATAGGTAGTTGCTCCTTTTCCAATGTCAGCATGTGCTGAATGATGTCCACCAGCTGAATGAGTTTTACCAGAGCCGGCTACCATGTTTAATCAATCTAAAAAACAGAACATTAAAGACCATGGAAGATGATGGTTATTGTACACAACTAGATGAATGGGATAGCTAGTGAACAATTTATCATGACTGGTTAATATTTCAACCGTATTTAACAATTAGTCGACTTTTACAAAATAATAATTCAGTATTTTATTCATTCGGTATAATAAAAAAATATATATAATTACAAAAAAAATGATATTACATTTATATTAATATTTTTAATAGAGGACGCTACACGGTGGTTTAAATCCATGAATAATGAACATGGAACTTTGTATACAAGACCGATCTGGGATTCAAAGAAAAAATTCAAAAAGAAAACGGCTTCATTTTTTTCTATGATTTTCTTTGGAAAATATTTTATTTTGTTGTGTTTTCGTTATCAGACTGTTGAGATTGTGGGTGTTATACAATAATAATAAATGATTGCTGACCATTACTTTTAATGAAAAAGTGTACTCTTGCAAAACAAAGTGTACAGTACTCTAATGAAACAGAATTCACACATTGTTTTACACGCTGAAGGAAAAAGTAGCGTGTACACTATACACACTAAAACTTCCTTTTACAGTTTGCTTTCTTTTATAGATTTTCATAACTTTATGCTTAAAAGAAATTTATCGATTAAACGTGATCAAGACTGCAGAAATCACGTTCAACAGAATCATAGTTAGGGACGTTTTCACATCTTTCATGTCCTTGTATACGGAACTTACGCATATGGCGTGTATACCACTTGATATGAATGTGGAGTAGTGCTGAAATAATACTGCGAAGAGTTGCAAGAAATACAAGAAAAGAAAAATACTTGAAAAAAGATTCATCTTATAGAATTTCAGTTTTAGTTTATATCTGAAGACTTTCAACGACTACAAATTCTGAGTTCCTTGTTCATTTTTTTTTCATAATACCGATGTCTCTCTCAAGGTAAATTTTAGACAAACGTAATTCAAGTGGTACAATGGTGGGTCGGAGAAAGCATAACTCGGATCTGGATCTTTTCTACACTCGCAACCACACTCTTAAATCCCCGTGTGCTCATTAAAATGAAGAATAAAATAAGTGTGTTGTTAATAGAAGTTTTCTTCTACTAATAGCCAACAGTTTTGCATCTCTTGTACATTTTGTACACTTTGGTCTACAAAACAGGGTGTACGACTACATAGTGTTCTGAAACATATAGTGTACCCGTATACTCCATTTCAGATTGTCATTAAAAACATTGATGCTAACTTTCTTCGCTTGAATTCAAGTATGATTTATCTGATGTTCGAATATTATCATCTGCAACATATATGTTGAAAGAAAAATCATTGTCGTATCGAATGTAACTCTTTCAAAAAAGAAAGAAAATGTGGTTTTATTGAACTATGTTTCCGTCAATACGTTCTGAAGCTTTTTAAACAGATTTATTGTTCAGTAATTTAACAAATCAGTTGTGTGATCTGAAAGAAAACTGTCTGTTTGAAATTAGAATTGTCTTGTTTAGCGGTTTTTTATGCATACAATCATTAAAAGAGCAGCAATGAAAATAGAAATAGACGAATTCAATCAAAGTATACCGTTTACTAGGAGTATCAACAACTGAATATTTTGCAATACTTTTCAATCTTTTTTTATTACTATTCTTATTAGTAGTTGCATCTATTCACAGCATAGGAACCATTCGATGAGTCAACTAACCTGAATAGCACATATTTGAATAATCATATAAATAAATACACGAAATACCACGGAAGAAAAAAATGTGACTCAAGTACTTCAAAGTACGTACGATACTCATCATGATCCATCATTGTTTTTTAATTTATGGATGCAATCTATGATTCAATTTTCACAAAATCATCATGCACATCGATCTAGTAAACAGGAACGATTTCGATCACCTGTGTAAACAATAGTTTCGTATTGAAAAAAAAAATTCCGCTTCTTTTTTTTAGAAAGAATCTAAATTACATCATCAAGAATCTATTTATGCTTCAAATCCTACCTCATCATCTCAATCTCACTTATTAAACAATCATCTGAAGAACAACAATATCGTAGTCCTCAAGATCTTATTCATCATCGTGGAGAATATGAATCTATTGCTCGTGCTAATATTCGTTCACAACAACAAGTTTGTTCACCAACAAATCATCGTCTTCTTTTACAATATCCAAATAATAAGCATTATCAACATTCAGATTTAGTACAATATGGTAGTCCAACATTATCATTATCATCATCTTCATCATGTCGTGAACAACAATCAATGACAATGAATTTTAATAGTATAGGTACACCAAAATCTCCATTAAATGGATATCATGCAGAATCATCACCAAGACTTAAACTACGTTCACTGATAATTACTCGACAAGCTTTACCGCCACCTCCAGCATTTTATTATCACAATTTGAACCAAATCATAATATGACACAATATCCTCTGATGAAACAAACTATTGCTAGACCATCAACTAGTCCTCCACCTCCACCACCATCAGCACCACCTTTATCGGTAAATATGAGCGTGCCAACACTTACGACTATTTCAGAGATTGATAATTTACCTCCAATGCCACCAAATACACCACTAGTACCACCTTCACCTAATTCAACTATTCAATCACTTGTCATGCGATCTTCAACGATGAGTACACTGCCAACCATAAAAACTAATTCAGATAGTAATAATGGATCATCATCTCAACGTGATGATATTTCTGTTACATCATTACATCAGAAACGTCATTTCAAGATCAACGACCTTATATTATGCGTGATCTTCATTCTAATTTATTGAAAGAAATCAAAAAGATTAAATTACATCATTCTTTTCCTTTTTTCTTTTTTGTAGGTATTCAATTGAATAATCGTAAAAGAGAAGAAAAGAAAGCAATTGTGACAACTAAAACAAGTCCTCCTTATGTTATATCAACTATGGAACCAGGAGCAAAATATCGTCGTAATGAAATCCGTTCACAATCTGACTTCGACAATGAAGATGAATCATCACGTTGGGATACTAGTGACTGAATAAAATAACTTCCTTTTTTTCTTCCATTAGATAATATTATTTCCATTCTCTTATATTCTTTATTGTTGTATAAAAAAATGCATGCTTGTGTGCCGTTCTTTTTTTCTGTCGGTATTGATGACGTACAACAACTTTTCTTTTTCGAAGTGACTAATAACGAAACTGATATGTTTAAATGAAGGATTTACTTGAATATCACCCAGTCCTTGCAACTAGCGTTATTTACTGGTGATGACACATCTCTTTGCTATATGATGATTTAATGTCTTTCTCTATTTGACGTTCAATTACAAGCAACAATGAAACAATTTTGTACTATCATTAGTTATATTACACAGGACATTGAATGACCACACACGATGTCATATTCAGCAAAGAAGACTTCCAAAGTTCTTATTTGCTTAGTCCGTAATGTATACTTCTGCATTTGAAATGAAGAATATACATTGATGATAAGAAAAGATATTCTTAATGGTATATTATTTATAATAATCTTTTGATCAACAAGCAATCTAGAAGTTAGCTGTGGACGATAACTTCTCGCATTATCGATTAATAAGAACTTCAATATTTCACTAGGAATACAGCAACAAATGATTGAATCGAAAAAGTTTTTATAGTTTTGAAGCAAATTTCTTTTTGCGCCTAAATGAAGCCTCTATAATACATTGTCTGCGAGGTCTGAAACATTCTTATTGCATACTCAAGATCAGTGTTTTATTCAGGCTTTTCCTTCCGAAAGGGCGCAAAGCTTTTCCAGGGGTAAACACATAGTCTCAGGCGCAAAAAATGTAAATTCTAGGGGGCTGCGTCCTCGCCTCCCTCCCCCGCTGGATAAAATACTGCCCAACATAATGACTGAGAATTATTTATTTGACTATACGAGATAAATAAAATGAGTTGTAATAAACATGATGAACAGCGTAAGACATATGGGACAAAATAACTTCAGTCCTTAAAGATGCCAGGATTGACGGGAAATTTTAGAAAATGACAAAGGAAAATATTAGAACTTTTTTATATATTGTTCTTTGATTTACATATTTCACCGTTCAAACATGTGAAAGTAGATGTTAACCGTTGCTCAATAATTTTCCTATTGAGGTTATTGTCTATGTTTTAATCGCTCCTGCGCTTTGTTTTTCTTCGAGAATATATTATTTCATTGTATACATGATGTTATCTCTCTTGAAATTCAGAGTTTATCAGGACTGGGAAACATATAAACTGCAAAACAGATATTATGCGAGTGTAATTCCATTAGCTTTCTTGTGTAATAAACGTTTCCCTTTGAGAGAAGCATTGCAGTCAGAATAAAACATGAATCGACCTGATGTTCATCTATTAGATCTACCTAATGAGATATTACTTATCATTCTGAAAAAATTGAACAATATTTATGTTCTTTATTCATTATTGAACATTGATAATGAACGACTGAACATTCTAGCACCAGAAAAATCCTTCAGTAACACTCTCGATTTTCTGTCCATTGACAATACTTTTTCAACTAATCAGCGCAAAATTGATCAATTTTGCATCGATATATTGCCAAAAATTCATCAGAATGTGAAATGTTTCATTCTTGAACCAGTTTCAATGGAACGTATTCTTCTTGCCGTCGACTATCCAAATCTAACTGAACTCAAACTTTTTAATTTCAAACGAGAAATCGCTTTATCTTATTTTACAAGTAAGCAGAATAGCAGAAGAATTATGTTAAATAGACCAGACAATAGAATGTTTCATTATTTTTTATTTAGATGAATCATCTCTTCAACATATCTTCCAACAACAAATTACAAATCTTATTCTTATAAATAATGACAAAGAGAAAATGATAGGATCATTAAGAAATTATACTATAAATGTGTATGGACATATTTTGAAGTTCTTTAAAAATTTAACACATTTGAGTATTATTGAAGGATTCAATTCGTCATATCCAGGCTTGATACTTGATGATTTATCATCGATTACTTTCTTCTCTTCAACTCTTACTCATTTATGTATCAATACGTACAATTTAGATGATTGTCTTTATTTACTTGATGGTCGATTCAAACAATTAACTGCATTAATTGTTCGAATACAATATATACACTTTTCATCAATTGTTCACAACATGGTAAGTTTTAACAAATAATGTCGACTATGAGATGAAGCTGACTACCAATTTCCATTTATTTAAAAAGAAAAAAATCGAATTGAAGTTTGTTCTGAAATTGTAAAACGAAATCTACTGAATTGCCGTAGTCATCATTAACANATATTGAGATTTGCCTGAGATATCAAATTTTTAGTGGATTTTTCCGATAGGAGGGTAGTTTTGGAGCAAAATCATATCTTCGAATTTCGACCTGAAACTTTGTCAACATGAAGATCTTGGTAAGACTAACTCATGTATAAAGTTTCATCATTTTTAGAAATTGTATATATGAAATATAAATTTATTTCATAAAAAAAAAAAAAAAAAAAAGAAAGGAAAACTTCTTTTCTTTTAAGGTTTATATTGTTGTAATACAATAAATATTTGGGATTATATAACAAAAGTTAATCGAGAATCAGCTAGATTTTATTATTTTCTTTATTCACCATCAAATGATAGTTGTGTTCTTCGTCCATCATATAAAATATTTTCACTTGATATATGGGATTTTTATTTAAGGAAAACATTAGAAACAGGTTGTCNTATATATATTTAGTACGTTGTTTTAATTCTACATCATTTAAATGTTCTTCATGTTCAGCTAAACCTATATCAAGATCATATGGACAACCTGTTTCTAATGTTTTACTTAAATAAAAATCCCATATATCAAGTGAAAATATTTTATATGATGGACGAAGAACATTTAAATGATGTAGAATTAAAACAACGTACTAAATATATATAAACTATTTATGATGATATTAGTATTTGTTTACCTGATTTTTTTAATGATATTGTTTCTGTAAGAAAATTGTTTAATGGATAAGTATTGAAATATATATTTTGTTTTTTCTTTTCGTTCTAGGAAATGTCTAATACATTATAATATGCAAATACTGAATCATGAAAAGTTTATTGGGATAAAATTGAAAAACCTGAACAAGAAAAAGTACAGGTAAGTTTCATGTAGATTTCATTTGGTTTTAAGCTTTGAAATTGCGAATTTTTTTTTTATAATGTTATATAGAGTTCGGAATGGCTGAATGTAAACATTTGTGTTTTTACTTTTTTTTTGTTTTTGGCTAAATAGTTCGAGGAAATTTTTATCCGGTAGTTTTTAAAAACTAATAATATATTTTAAAATCAGATTTTTCTTAAATTGAACAGAAAAACATACTTCAAAAAAAAAGTAAAAGTATTACCGGTGTTTTGGTTGATTTAGCTTTTCAATATTATAAAAATTTTTTTTTTGTTATAACTGTAGCTTCCAGGTTTCAACATTAAAAGAAAAAAGGAAATAAAACTAACAGTAAGAATCAGATAGTAATTTATTGTTTAATCTAGTTAACACATATTACATGCTGTGGAAAAACTTGATACAATAAATTTCACATATATACAGTAGTGAATAAAAATCTTCGTCCCAGTCGAAAATTTGTGTACACATAGTTCACCAAGAATATAGATCATTAGTATTGTGATACCATTACTACTTAATTCCAAAGCGTGTTATAATGAATAGTAACTATCTTTGTTGTTAATCTCATCACTCTGAAAAGGAAAAGTATTCTGTGGCAATCGACTTCTTAATATGTAATGCTATGTTATTTTCATTGAAGTTCATCAATCCTTTTAAATATTATGTTAAGTATTATCACTGTAACTATATTCAATCGATAGATCTCAGTGAGTAGGTAGTTTGATAAAAATTCGATATCCTAACAAAAAAAAGTCCATATGTCACACTTGGGAACATTTTCTTCTGAATTATAGTTCAACATTTTTTAGAAGTTTTCTCTACAATTCGATATAATTACTTCCAAGTTTCAGAAGCAAATCTTACAAAATGAATTTAACTATTGGTTGAAGAAAGACCATAAGTGAGACTTCAGTTAGATTTTTAATAATGAAATGTATAAAATTTTGTTGTTAAGTTATAATGCTCAAAATAAAAAAAAAACTAGGCATTCTCTATCATAATTCTCTTTGTAAACAAGCCATAACAGCACCTTAATGTCAATAACTTACATTCTTGATGAAGTACATAAATACAAATATTTAGACATGCCCGAACGCATACAGTAGTTGAGATGGAAGAGTTTTGTCTACTATTGAACATCCTAATAGACTTAATTAATGCTACAGTGTAATATAAAAAATTTTACTTTTTTCTTTTTTGGTAAAGAATGTCATCTATAAGTAGTTCTTACATACTTCTTATTGATTTTACAAGTAGCCTCTTTAATCTTATCGTATTTACTAACATATAGATATTTGAATTCTAATAGAAGAATCTTTAATTTAACTTGAAAAAAAAAAGAATTTTATAGCGTTTATCAATGCAAGATGAAACATATAAATGAATGAATTGAAATCAAAATTATCTTCAACTTCAACGATCATTATCATCGTCTATATCATCATCACGTACATCATCAATGTATGGTTCTCATGCATATGAATTCAAACAGTTTACAACATCACAAATTTGTGATGTTTGTGATGAATTAATTGATTCAAAAAAATCACCAAATGGTTTGTAATCACATTCGTTTTTTTTTATTCTAAAAAGAAAAAAAAACAATTGAATAAATTTTCTTATGAATAGAAGGAATACGAGCACTTCAATGTCGTGATTTTTTAAATGTTTGTCATGAAAAATGTCGACCAATAGCATCATATAAATCATGTCAACGAATTGGTGTTAGTGGATCATCAGATTCTCAAATTGTTGTTAATTCAACTCGATTTGAAAAAGGCAGTGTTACAGGTAGATTGTAAAAAAAAAGTTTATCAATTTTTTTGTTGTTATTTTTTTTTTACACCTCAAATTATAATAACATACATCATTTTCAGATATTACTGATGTTTTATTGGAGAAAGCAGGTAAAACTTTACTAGACTCTCTTTGCTTGTTTAGAATATACATATATGTGTACTGTTACTAACTAATTATTAGATTCTAATAACCATAAAGAAAGTTTAACTGAATTGAATATTTTAAGATTAAGAAAAAAAAAGTTTTTTTTTTAGTGAAATAATTATTTAAATGATGTTGTGAATGATTTTAGTTATTACTTTTCTTATGGTTATTACAATCCGATAAGAAATAGAATCTAATTCTATTTGTAGATATAACAAAATTTTCTTTTTTTTTCGAAAAACTTATCAAAAATTTAATTATTATCAAATATTTAATATTTTCAGGTGTTTATGATCATCATGGATTATCGCATCCATTTTCATCATCAAGTGTAACTGGAAATAATTCAGGTCTACAACATCGAACACATGAAGGTCATTTATTAAAACAATGGAAAGAACAATGTTTTGTACTTGATTCTGTACGACATGAGGTAATCATTTTTTATTCTATATTATATTTTAATAATTATTTATTTGTTTCTAGCTTCGATATTATGATAGTAGTGATGATCAAACAGCAAAAGGTGTTATTCTTTTAGCTAATGCTGTAGAAATTCTTCCTTATACTGGTCCATTGCCAAATGCATTAAGACGATTTGATAGTCGAGCCGCTTTTGAAGTAACGAGACCCAAAAAAAAATGTAGTTCTATTTAAAATATTTATTGTTTTTTTTTTAATATTTAGTTACATTCAAATCGTCGTATTTATAATTTTATAGCTGCAATACCTCAAGATGTTCAAACATGGACCGAAAAAATCAAATCATGTCTTCTAGATTCTTAGATAAACATTTCGAATAGAATCTCATCAGTATTATTGTCATCTTCTTCTTTTTTGTGTGCAATATTCACTTACGTTTTTTTGTCTTTGCTTTGCATGTTATGAAAATTTCATTCCTATTTTTTTTTTGCGGGTGCTTATTTGTCATTATATGTCGATTAGGTTAGAGTTATTATCATTTTTAATTGCTGTGAAGAAAAAGATTATAGAGCAATTTTATGTATATACATATATGTTTGTGTGCGTGTGTTTTTTTTTGTTCTTTCGATAGCATGTCATTTATTTATAACTGTGTGTTGCAATAAAAACCGAAAGAAAACTTTCACCTGCTTAGGAACGAATAGGAATTTCGCTTAAATATTGCAAAATATTCAATTAATATTAATGTTATCGATGAATAAAAGTTGAAATTGAACTACTATATACACATACGAGTTGATAAGATGATATAAGCTTCTTTTGGGTTTATGACAAATAGTCGCAGTGCAGTATTCGTTGTAACACTGAAAAATAAAATTTCGAGCGAATTTCTGTGATTGTCTTGTAACTAATTTGCCGAATAGAATGTTGCTTAGTAGCTAATTCAATACTTCGATACTTTCTCTACAATTATGACTAGTTGTAGCTATGGAAAGACGATCGGCTCAACACAGAGTTCTCGTGCTCAATTTTTTGAGCTTCACATACTCACTACCTAAGTATATAGTAGTTATTATCGATGGTACTAAAGTTTGCATAGAGTATCTTGGAGATAAATATAAAAAAACGTAGCTATTCACTCGTAGCGACTAACAATCTATTCAAGGACAAAAACTATTATGTATGATCATAAATATCAATATTTAGTGAATTCGCCTATTTGGGCATGGAGCCTTTTCACATGTCATCACCATCTTTACGCGGCATTGTACATGATCAAATCACATGTCTGAAAATTGAGATTTATGGAAGGTGCAATAGAAACTACACTTCTCTTAAACATGTGGTAAATATTTCGATAGAATATGCTAAATTTATGATGATTTAACAGTATCAAAGATGAGAATATAAATACAAAAATGGTGACAATAGAACTGTGCATCAGATTACGAAACTTGACCACGTCGAAGTCTAATAGAACATATTAACGGAATCTGGCAATCTCGTTTATACGTAGGCCAAATATATAATAACTAAACATATAAAAAGTTTTAGTATTCGATCTCAACAATATACAGAAAAATATAAACGACAGAATGATAGGAAATGTTAGATTTGAAACTAGGATGTTGTATCACATCACTGAAACAGCAAAGGAAAAATATTTTTTTTTTTACGTTTAGTTGTTTAAATGGCCAATGCGCGAACGCAAGTGGCCGCGGAACAAATTATCCACTCGAGAAAGCCCGATGTGGACTTTTCGCAGGCGTCAACGGGGGCGATGTGCAATGCCCGCGCCTCGACCTGGAGCATTCACGTTCATGATCGTGAATGCATCCGTGGCAGGTAAGTATGCTTGTTGAATTGTTTTCTTCATTCTTATATAGGCGTCTGCTCTGCAGAAATTGCACAGTTGATAAAACAACGAAGGAAGAAAGAAAAAAAAAGAAAACAGAAGGAAAGAAAAAGGCCATGCAATGTGAGTCAAATTCCAGTCCATATTATACTTTCTTTTTTTTTCATATATGACAGAATTATCAATAGGTGTCGTTAGTTAACAATGAACTATTCTCAAGAAATTTTAAATAATCGATTTCTTTATCGTTTAGTGCAGTATGATTTCAACAAAACTAATATCTGAAGTATCATAATAAATGAATATTGTATTTGTTTCAGTCGAGCAGCTTCTGACGAAGAGCGATATATTTCATTACATGTTCTGATAGTGAATTTTGCATGTTTCTTATTCCATTTACTATTCGTTCAATTCTTTTTTAAATCCTTAGACTAAGAAAATGCAATGTATTATAAGTAATAGAAAGATCATAATTTTTACGATATCTGTTTACATTCAATATAAGAGAGATTAACTTAAAAATCAGTTTTTAACGTTCACTTTTGCTTTTTGTAAAAGAAAATATTGCATAGTATCGTTTAAATGATTGTAAAAGTCAGTAAAAAGTAGTTTTTTTGCACTTCTTTATGCTTTAACAGCGAAATGTTAACACATATTGTTGATAATTTTCCATATAGTATTGGTATCGTGCATGCATTTTACTAAGACTCATTTTGTATTTATTTAATGTTGAAGCAGGAAATGCATTATGACTTTCTTCTCTAACAATCAAGAAAATATTTTTCTGATCGCTCTAGATATGAGTAATTGTGTAGTACGCTTTTTCATTTTCGTCAAAAGAGCATTCAGATTTTTATTGTATTGGCACTCAGGAAAAGAGATTTGAGTGTTGGATTCTGCCCGAAAATTTTCATTTTTGAAGAAGAGCCGTTTCTGTATTTCAAATGTCAAAAAATAATCTCAAATTTCTTCAAGAATGATTATCTATGACTTATCTAGTTGGGGTTGACCGAAAGTTCAGAAAACATTAAATGTATTTTAATAAATGTACAAAGTTATCGTCCTAATTATTTATACAAAACTCCGTCTTTTCTAACACATTGTCAGACGTTTCTTTCAACTCTTCTTCCGGAATATTTTAATCAGTTAAAGTACGTTTAATATAATCCTTTAATCAAAAGACACTTAGTACAAGATCTGGCGAAAACGGTGAATGCAGCACGATATTAATACCTTGTTATTTTAAATGATTAATAAGATCTGAATGAGTTTGAGATCTACTATTATTTTGACATAGTTTTATACCTTTGAGATTTGATGACATTCTTTTTTTTCATATTTCATTGATAACAGGCTTGAGGCAATTTTCAATATAATAATTGCGAACTATAATCTTACCTTTATCTACACTTTGTATGTGTACAGGATCATTTGATTTCTTGAATACAAAAAGCAAAATTTCTAATTTACATATAGTACGAAGAACGGTAGTCGCTGGTGATTCATTCTCACTAATCTAGCTTGCGTTGGTTAAAATCCGTCCAATTTCTCTCTGATAAATGCATGTCTCATCACTTATAATACTATTGCCTGACTGCCAGGATCAATCATGAAATTTCGTCGAACTTTCGCAACAATATCTAGGTCATTCTTGCTTTTTTTTCATCATTGACTTGATGAGACACCAAGCATGTTATAACTTTTCTCATCTTTAGACAAGTAGCGCTCCTCCAAAAATTGGGTAGACTCTTGCAGAGTTTGTGGCGATTATACCACTTACGATGTATCTGTGCTCTCAAAATAAAATATTTCTGCTTTCGGAGTTTTAAATCGTGTCTGTAGAAAATAAAATCTGGAAAAAACACTAATGATTGTTTTTGACAATGTATCGTACTCATTCAATATTTACATCTGTCAGCTAGGAAACTGAACGACCAGATCGAAGATCATCATTGACATTTTCTCTTCCTTGATAAAAACGGTATACTCACCTTGCACCTGTTAAATATGATGGAGAATTAGATCTCATTGTTATTGTAAGTTCTTTATGAATTATCTTTATATATATTTCCAAAATATTATATATATATATAAATATAGACAGAATGTTCTACTATTTCCTCATGTAAAAAACGCTTAAATATTAGCTGATTTATACAATTGCAAGAAACCTTATCAGAACTTTTGGTTAGATCTAAGTATTTTTATATATTGATTAAATTATTTATATCTAGCAAATTTCTTTTTTTTATCAAAAGTTGAAAGAAAAATTGATCACGTAAACATAAAATAAAATAAAAGAAATTAATTAATTTTTAGTTTACAAATTGATTCGTTCACCTTTAACAAGTCGACTTTTAATTTTCCATACATCCTACATTAAAAAAATACATTTTCATCAATAAATTTTTATATAAGATCTTACCTCAAAACGTGCATTTTCAATTTTAGTTCTTTTTTCAAAAATAGCTGTAACTTCTTTAGAAATAAAATCTTGTACAGTATTATCACATTCAATATATTCACATGCTGAATCAGCATAATGACATGAAATAGCCTTAATAGACAAAAAAAAAAACATAAAATCTTTTCCTTTACTAAATTTTATTACTTTTCGAAAGCCAGATGATCTATTCGTTCCACTACCATGAACAAGTAATGGATGAAAAAAGACAGTATCACCTAAGAGAAAAAAGAAACAAATATCAAATACTTAGAAATAATATTTATAAATTTTACCTGTTTCCATTTCTAAATGTATTCGCTCTTCCTTTGAATCAAATTTTTGTATTCCATGATACATTTTATTTACTCCACCCTATAAACAACTAAAACTTAAATCAAATTAAATTTATTCTTTACTTTCCAATCAGGATATCCATGTACTTGAAGTTCACCTGTATGTGTTCCCGGTACTACAACAAGACATCCATTTTGACGATTAACTTTTTCCATTGCTGTCCATGCACAAACAATACGATTAGCTGGTCGAAATGGAAAATAATAAAGATCTTGATGAAGTGGATGTCGAGATGTTTGAGTTCCTGGATCAGGTGGTTTATTAATTAACTAAATAAAAATATTTTTGTGATATCGAAAACAAAGGAGTTCTTATTATTAGCTTTATTACCATTGTATGCATAGCCATTATATTTGGACCAGTAAAATTTTCTACATATTCAACAATTTCAGGTAGGCAACAATATTTAAAAAATTCATCATCTAATGTAAAATCTTGAATTTTTGTTATTGCTTTTTCACCATTAGCAAATTCTGATTTAGCTATTGCAACATCTTTCATAACGGTCATACCTAAAACTTTTACTTTTCCTGTACAAACATCTTGAAAACGTTTACTAAAAATAAGAAAATGAAATTTACAGAATAGTCAATTATATTTGAATTCATTTGTTTTTTGTTTACCGAAAAAGTTCAAGTGATTCAGATTTAACCAAATTACGAATAACAACAAAACCAGTTTTTTCATAAGATTGACGTTGTTCATTTGTTAAATTTCCATTTGGTAAACTAAAACAAAATTCTGGTTTTTGAGTATTATCAACTGCTGTTTTCTATGATAAAGACATCAAATAAAACTTCTATATTCATAGACAAAGAAATATTTTACATACACATTGTGAATAAAAACGAAGATGATAATTGATTATTTCTAATCGTTGTGCTAATATTGTAGAGAATAATTGCCGTGCAAAAGGAGATGATGATTTTGATAATAAACTCATATTGTTTTGTTTTTTTTTATCTAATTAAAAAACATGATCAAAATATGTTTTGAAAATAAGTAATATTTAAAGGGTTTGATAAAATAATTTATAATGATGATAGCACATTTTTTCGAAGACTTGATATAGTTAAGTAAGTAAACATTTACGAGATAACGTGTTTTGACTTGGAAGCTTGCCAATGGAAGGAGTACAAAGTGTGTCTCATCGAAAAGTAATCATCAAATAGCGACCTCTAGACATTAGACTCATATCTGAAAACTTGTGTACACGTACCTTCACCGAGAATATAGGTTATTGGTATTGCGGTGCCGTTCTTGCTGAATTACAAAGAGAGTTATGATGGACGACACTTATGTTTTGCTTTTAGAATTATAACCTAAAAAAGGCTATGTACAATATTTTGTGTTGTTTACTCAAGGGAGAAACGCAAACTTAAAGTATAGTAAAGTAACATCTAAAGTAATCTAAAGTACTTTAACATTAGAGTAAAGTACTTTAAAGTAGCTCGAAGTGCTGTGAAGTAGTGCAAATTAACTTCAAGTACAAAGTACGTCGTTTCCCCCTTGTGTTTACTACTAAAACTATGACTAATTTTCATGATGAAAATATATATTCCGATAATGCTAAACTAGTAAATCTAATGAGATTGTGTTGCATTATTGTGAGACAATAAATAAGGATATTACTATGACTAAGCATTGCATGATAAACCATACATAATCGTTATTGATAGAAGTTATTATAAGTACAATGTGTTCTATTTTTCAAAAAAACATTCTGTCTTGTGAACGGAATTGAGTCGCATTCGAGTTTTTTTTACTTGGAAGATAATGTAGTTTTTCAAAACAGAAAAGACTTATACAAGAAAAAAAATGAAAGTATTCGATAGTTATTTACTAATTCTATGTAATTTTTTAAAACATAGAAATCTATATTGTCAAAATTCTTTTCGAACTTATTTTTTATTCTAATGCCCTCATACTCTAACAAAATGGTATAGCTTTGAAATGAATCGATTTAAAATCTATGACATAATGAGTTTGACATGACTCTTATCGAGTTTATTATTATTAAAATCAGCAAATAGGATTATATTTTAATTCCATAAAATAATTGTAAATTTTTTTCTCAATATTCCAATACAATTTCAATGCATGCATTCAACTTACTTTTCTGATGACGATATAAGGAAAAGTGACGACAGGACTCAAAGCATTTACTTTCAAGCAAAATTACAGAAACAGATTACATTTTCCGTGAATTATGATGTCAACGATTATTGTGTCTATTAGTTTTTTCTAGATATAATCTTTCATTTGAACTAAAATAAACTAGACCAACATCATTAGTATTAACAATGAACTAGAAATAGAAAAACTATTCATTTAAATAGAGAATTAGTTCAAGCATAAGATAATGTCATAAATGATTCATTTCTGTTGTAACATCGGCTGTTTGATTCCGATAAGGAATATATATTCGAGAAAAAAAATTTTTCTCTATTAAAAAGAATCAATTTCATGATATATCCACGAGATATCAATGACCATATGTTGAATTGGATCATCAAAATCTGTTTATGTCTTTGTTATAAAATAACGTTTACCGAACTAGTAGCAAATTATCAATATTTTCTAAGACGATCTTGATTTTGATAGTTCTCTAACAGTACTAAAAAGTGATTTTATTTTGATTTATCCTCATCATACCAGAATATATTTATATTGCCAAATAAAATAATACATTTCATTATTTTTCAGATAATTATGTTCGTCGAACGGATGGTTACTATTTCTTAATCTCAGAAGATTTTTTTCCTTTGCTTGATGATTTACAAAATTAAAAAAGAAATTTCTTCTTTTGGATTGACTTCTCTAAAAATCATCACGATCATACTCTCATTTTTTTTTCGATAGATTCCTCATTTGATTCTTTATTAATTTGTATCGTTTACTTGAACGAAGTAACATACGTGATTTGTTGAAACCTGATTTCTTTTTTTATCACGCTTCTTTGCGTTAGACTTTGTGAGTTATTGTATAAATCTTCCTTTTAATCATACAATATTTCAATCAATTATTAGCCCGAAACTAATACTAAGTAAGACATAACTATTATTGTTAATCGATAGACATCGGTACGACTTCTTTGAAACTTTGTGCATATGTTTATCTTTGGCATCTTTTTCACTTTTAATTATTGGTAAGGAAATATTGATCACAGGGATGGTGCAACCAGGAGGGGAAGGGGTGAGGGGGCTGTATCCTCGTATCAAGAAAACTGTTTGTTTTTTTTTCCATTGGAAGCAAAACTTTTGCGTGCGTTTTCTTAGAAAAAAAACTATTTACAAACTCCCCCGATATTGACTGCTTTGAGTCAGTACGGATTAATCATCTTCCATATCTGCAAGAAATATCCCTCAAGCTTTTTCTCAAAAAAGCAACGTTCTCTTCTATGGTATCAAAAGTGTATGAGGACCACAGATGATCATCTATATATAGTTTCTGAAGATTTCATTAGAGCTAGTTTCGGATTGATAATTGATTGAAGTCTTGCATGATTAAGAGAAAAGCTGACAAAATCATTCACACGGTTCAACGCAAAAAAAGTTTAACAAAGGAAAAGAATTTTGGAAATGATGTGTTCTGTATCTAGTCATTTCATTGGATCTGAACAAATAAAGTATTCTGTTTTGTTTAAGTACAAGATGCAAATTTGTTGAGAATCGAATGAGGAATCTATGCAAAAAAATGATCTCGCTAAGCTGAAAGACTGTCGAAAAGTATGCCGAATACTGAGAGATTCATTTTTTTACGGCGAACGTTGTACTGGTGTTGAAGATACAGTTTATGAATGGATATCGAGACCAGCTAAAGTCGATTGATGAAACAAAAACTATTAGTATTATGCTTAAATCAATATTTACACCGCAGATCGATCAAAAAATAAAAACTTTTTTGTTGTTTTTCATTTTGAATATATTAAATGAATTTAGATATTTTGTATTTTCAATATTATTTTATTGAATTTTTTGAGAAAAAAAAAACAATTTTAGATGGTTTTCAGTCTGACTTTAGCCAATAACGATTACAGTTTTATATTATATTCGTCCAGTTGAACATTATAATTCTCTATATTAACTTGAAATTATAATTTTTTTTGTAACATAAACGAGAATGATTTAATAGGAAAGTTTTAACAGATCCTAGAAATAGAAAATATGCGAAGAGATATAAGAGTTTTCTTTTACACTAGTCTAACTATTGTAGTTTCATGATATAATTTTCAAAACTAAGATGATATATGATTTCTTAGACGTTGAAGTTCCACAATGTTTTCCATATTAATATTTCTTGTTGAACGATAAAATTTAGAAATGATAGACCTAAGAAATGCTCTTAATGTTTGACGGAAAAGTTGTCCACCACTCGTTGCATAAATATAAAATGAAAATGAACTTTGAAATGTAGTAAAAAAAAATGTTGCATCATCGAAAAGTGTTTCAATTTTAGAACGCAATTGACTTTTGTCTATATTAAGTGTAAATACTAAATAAAAACATAATATTATATTGGGAATATATGAAATTAATAATAGTAGACTTTGACCAATTATCATCTAAAATTAAAAGCAAAAAGAAAAGATTATTTTATAACGCATACTACGAAAGCTTCTGAACTAAATGTTTCATCCTTTTATTTTGATTGATTACGGGAGTCAGTAGAACACTCAAAGTACTTTTTTAGAATCAGAATTTTGTGCTCTTGTCAAATATATATTCGAAATAATAATCTAATCATATGCCGTTTGAAATTTATTGTGTGCTATAGGTGCGTATTGATTTTTGTCATAAAGGCGCCCAATTTAGCTTAATCTAACTGTCATGTTTCTTTTTTTGCATAGAGTAACTTGCGAGATAGGCGTTTACAAAGTGAACTAATGAGGGAATCATTCGAATTGATACTGCGCTATTTGAACTTCTGTTAACCCTACAAGAACACCTTGTTACACTAATAGAAGATGAAAAGGGTTCATCTCCATGGGTCTTTGGAACTAAGTTATGATTGTTTTACTGAATTTAGAACTCAATTTTAGATATATACCGAAAAATCAAAAAAAAACTAAATTTCAACCTGAAATATTGCCCATAGATATGTTCAATAATGCATGCAATATTCTGGAAGTTTCAGCCAAAAAGAATATGTTTTCATCAAAATATTGAATTTCCAAAAAAAAATGATCTTTTGTCACCAGTATGATACAAAAAACAAGTTTATTTGAAAATTCATTAAAACGATTCTAACTCGGCTTACAAAACGCATGGAGTAGAACCGTTTTAGATCTTTTCTATTCTTATCGAGATCTCCTTTCACGCTCAAAATGAGTCCAAACGGTAGGTGTCAGTCCGGGAAGGTTCTCTCGTAAGAACCGGAAGTTTTGCAGCAATCTTTCAGAAATATTTGTGCTGATATTGTAAGTTTGACAAGAAAAAAGTTTCTATGATGTCAATATGTCTCTTAGTAAAAGTCTCAATATTGAGAGAAGCATCTCAGAAAACTAATGAAATTAGGATATCATTTTATGTAGAAATGCTTGTTCTTTCTTCTAGTATATTTTATAGTAAATTTTACATCTATCTGGGATAAAACTTTTGTCTATTGAAACCCGTGTCAATTTTAGTTTCTGGGCTTTGAATAATTCGCTCAAAATTCGTCTAACTTTTCTATTGACTCTCGTAATCAATCAACTATTGTAGGAACATATTGTTTAGAAACTTTCGCATAACACGTTAGTAATTAAAAAAACTATGGCTTAACCTGAACAAGATGTCTATCTGTTCGGCGAATGGATTGATGAATTCTTTTTTCACAATTGATATTTCTTCGACTTTTTTTAATATTTCGAATGGTTCCAAAACCAAAAATAAGTATAAGCAAACATGGAATCAACGCTAGTGTTACTAGTCGAGCAATATCATTGTATAATCCACATGCTCGGGTAGTAGTATAAGTACAAACTTCTAGTAGAGATGTCCCAGTTACATTAAGACAAAAAAACATACCGAAAAAAATAAGACAGCAAATAATCGTATTAATAGCTACTAATCGATAAGCACTACGTAATGAACTTAATTGACGATATCCAACATGAGTACTGCTAACTAAAAATCTATCAACAGTAGCTAAAGCGACAGAGATCATTGATAAACTTGATAATGCATAAGCCAATGATCGACGCATTTTACATAGTACATTGATACGTTCTGATAAATCTAATCCAAAAGTCGAAAGCATTCGAACGAACGGACTTGTTAGAATCCATAGAAGATTAGCATAAGCAGTTGAAATCAAATAAAATGAACATGGATTAGCACGAAGTTTTGGTTGTCGAAAAATAAATACAGTCATTACATTACCAACAAGATCAAGGATTATCATTATAAGAAGACCATGACGTATAATATATAAACTTATATTTGATAATCGAGTAATTAATTCAACGTCGTTGTGTGTTGCATTCATTTTCGTTCTAATTATTATTCTTTTTTTTTTATATGCTAAGTTGTATAGAATGACACAAATTTTACTTAATATTTTCTTACATCGTTCAAATAAATCTTACTTTTAGTGATTGACTAAAGTCATCAAAGACTCGTTATAACATGAAAGTCTCTTATCTAAAAAATTTAATTATTCTAGTAGAATATTTCGGAATAAAGGATTATTATCATAAATGACAACGACGCATTTAAAAACATATTCGTGTGCTGAAAATGTCGCCTGAATCAAAATTAACAGGATACATGCAACGGAATGAATAGAAACTTCCAGCTATTTATTTAACAAGTAAAAGAGAACTTCATTTCATTATATATCAAATATTATATTTGATAATTATTAATTTTTATATAATAAAGAAAAGAAAGTCATTTTATCTTTTCTCTTTTGTTCTTGTATGTCAATTTTGCAATTATCTATTTTAGACCATGGATTTCATAAATGTTTTCATAATTATTATTAATGAAAAATAAAACTCTTATGAAACACTTGATTAATCATAATAAAATCTACGATGAATCTTAATAGTCATTAAATATTTGCATTTAACAATTAAGTTAATTTATAATTGAAATATATATATATATATATGAATAAACAAGAAGCATCATGCATTATCTCATTAATGAATCTTTTAATAAACAGTCAAAAATAGAAAAATTATATCAAGTCCAATGTTAATTTTTTAAAGAAATTAGAAGCTTTTTGTAAAGTTCATCAGATACAAATTCTTCTCAAATGATAGATATACCAAGAAAGTTCTTATAAAATCTTATATTATTCAATTCTAGAATAGTTATCAAAATCTTTGTAATAAATTGAATTTGATCATCAATAAAAAAAATCGAAAATAACATTAAAAAAAATTCTTCATTGTCGTTTTGTTTAATAGAATGAACAACTATTAAGAGTAATAATAAAATAACGCAGTAGTTTCTGTAATAATGCAGTTAAAAAAAAATGTCGAGTACATCATTATATTCATTTTGCGGGGTTCTTAAATTATCGGATAATTCATTGCATAAGTACTGTTAGCGTTCCTAAGAAACAAAATCTTTCACTATAAATATTGTATAAATGCTGAATGAAAAATAAACTTTCCATTAATGCAATGATGAAGGTGATTTGATTTAATAAAATATGTCTATTTTATCATCATAAAGAAGATATCAGTGTAGTGACTAAATAAATAATACATTATACTAGATACGGACTATATGTTATTAACAATAGTATAGTTTGATGTAAAAACATTGATAATGAATAGTTACGAATAATTAATCATTATTTTATAATTCTTAAAAATATTCATTTGAACATTGACGATCGATTTATCGAATATTTTATGAAAAATTCTCTACAGAGGAAAGATTTAATCGAGTTTATCTATTGTTGAAGATGTTTCTATAAACGAAGATTCATATAAACATGTCTGAAATAAATACTAATGCCACTAACGGAGCAATTTTATGATATATAAACCATATCCTCATTTGGTACTTGAAGTTTAAGTCAAATAAGAATATGTTCCGATGACGTCCACAAAACATAGCAACTTGACATTATTTAGATATTAGATAATTCTAAAAAATACTTAATCACGTATTGCAGTATCTTTCTGGATTCTAACGAAAGAATCATTAAAACAAGAACATCCTTCACATAGTTTATCAAGATGCTATAATGTATGATGAATTGATGAGCATTCTGAAAGTGTACTTACACATTGTTTTTCTATTTTTGTATTATTAAAACGTAGTCCATCAAAAGTAGTAAGATCAAAAAAATAACACTGAGAGATAATGTATCTCTTGAAATTGAATAATAATTAAATATATCAATAAAAATAAGCTATTCTCTGAAATCAAAATTTTATTGTCCTCAACAAAAACAATTTCATTGAGATACTTAATTATAATTTATTCTCAGCATATATTTTATTTCATACATTATATATTACACATTAGGGCAGTTAAGCTTGAGTATTTACCAATTTATTTATATATTGGTACTATGGTATATGGTTAAAGAAAGTTATTGACATGAATCTTAATTAATTGATATGTGTTATAACTGATGTTGTTATTAATGATTTCATTCATTGATTACAAGATGATATTGATACGTTTGATATGATAATTATAGGTTTATGTTAGCCCTTTATCCCTCATTGAGTCATTTTTGACCCATTTGTAGAACGATCACAGAAAATAAAGGAAGTATGAGACTGAAAAACTTTCAAGACATTCGTTGTATAGAACTCCACAAGCTATTAACTGGTAAAAAAAATATATTGTTTCATTGTTCTACTTTCGAGATATGCGACTGATAGAGACCTTTTAGAATTTCTGTGTAATATTAATTGATGAAGAAGTTCACTGCTGAATTAGATGTGTTTCGAAAACTTCACGATAAACCTGTGGATTATGCATACTAAGGAACAATATGGACTATGTAGTAACTCTTAGGCAGATAGAGGGTAATCAAGAACAAAGTTAATATATGCATTATAAACCTCAACTCACGAGAAGCCGAAATAGTATTTATAATGAATTAAATTCCTTCAGACGTTATAAAATAGCTCGGAGTAAAATAGGCTAAAATTTGACAATAGGCGTAGAAAAAAAGCATGTATTGGTTGGTGTTAATTTTTGTCGGTTTACTCGTTGTGTTTTTCCTATCAATTCAACAGTACGAAATAGATGTTGTTTCTGCCCCGTCAATAATGTGATAGAAGACAAAAAATGAAATCTTATGATGCCATTCAATTTCCTTTTCCCACCATATGATTATTAGATCAATCAAATCGTCTTACTTTAGGAACAGAATATTCAGTGGATTAGGTCACACCATTGGCATATTCGAGAGGCTAATATTCTATTTATAGAGTTATTTTATCAGTGGCTCTTCTGGAACTGTTATGGGGTGTAAATGATTCATACAACATATGTGTTTTTGTTGTTTACATACAGAATTTCTTTTTTTGTTCTATTTGATTATCATGCAATAATTTTTCAAGCGATTCATATGAGCTTTTCATCATTTCATAGGATATTCGTGGAAGTTTTATTTCATATGATTTCATCCATAACTACTGTTGTAAATAATCGACATCAATTTAAGACATGAAAGCATATTTTTCGAAACATTTACAAAAAACCAATGCATGAAACTTATTTTGAGAACACTATGATCTTATTATCGCTTCTAATTTTCCTATCAACAAGGATTTTTTCAGTGTAAAATAACATTTGGGCAAAGAAACTATTGCGGTTCGTTGACTAATAAATTAAAGATCGTCTATTTTCAAGCTCATTTTTGTTCTACTATGCTTAAGCAAGTATTCAAGCTTGTATGGAATACAAAAACATGGATAGCATTTCTTTTTAAGTTTGTATAGGCATCATTTTTTGAAAAGCTTAATTGATTTAATTATAACACAACAATTATAAGTAGCTGAATTTTGACAACATTCTTCATGCAGTGAAACTAATTGTCCGTTATGATAAGCAAAGGAATTCTTTCATTTCCAAGAGCTTTGAAGAGATTTTACCGAAGAATCATTGTAGTATTCAATGAATGAAAACTAATTTTTATCCAATTTTTGAATTGAAATATATAAAGATGAATAGTTCATTAAGAGTTATTCAAATGACTTCGGTTTTAAAAATAGTATAAAACTGATCATGTCGAGTTCCAATAAACTTTTCAATGTCTATGTTTTCTATTAATCATGATAGATTTGTGTAAAAAGCCTTGTGAACTTCATGAGGAAAAATTAGTATTTTTTTTCGATTATGAATAACAACTTTTCTATTTTATTCTTTTAATCACAGTTCAAGTTTTTCAAATAACCGAGACGATATGACTAAGTTCTAGATCATTGATTATTGGATAAAAGCGCATTATCAAATGAAATCTTTTTCTTACAAAACCCGAATTAATCGAAGTGTCACTTTTTAAATAGATAAAAAATGTTTTGCCATATTATTTTCAATAAGTTATTGAGAAATTTTTACCAATAAAATATAAATTAAGATTTATATTCAGGATTTTATTGTGGAGTAATTTAATGATTTCATAAAAATGAAAATTCATTCTGATTTATTAATTCGATGTTGATGTGACAATATTCAATTGAATGTTAAATCATTTGTTTTTATTAAAATGAAAATTTTACAAAGAATATATTCAAATTTCAAGTACGATATAATAGCGACAAAGTATCAGTTTTTATAAAATGTAATATGAATAAGTCAAAAAATAAACAGATACATTATTTGATGTCATACGATCATTAGACTATCGAATACTATTCAAAAATATTTGTTAAATTTTTTTCCGACTTCTGTTTTCTTTTTACATCATTAAACCAAAAGAAAAAAGCATTACACATTTTTATACGACTGATTTCTTTTACTTTCTTTAACATTGGTTTAATGGTTACATTCGTAACATCCTACTATTCTCATCCAGAGCAACTGGTACACTTCGTTTATTTCTTTGTTCCTGTGGAAAGAACGATTGAATACAAAGTCTATTTTAAACGTTTCCCATGATTCATCGTTGTGTATTGCAACGTCATGTTGGTATGCTGTCAGACCTAGACTTCTGCTTGACCATGATTTTTCGGTCACGTCACGGTCACGTTCACAGTCACGAAAATTTTCCGAAACTAGTCACGGTCACGGAAATTTTGGATTACTAGCTGGATTTTTGTGCTACAATATCAAGATTTAAATTGATTTCGTAGATTTACTCTGTAATAAAACAAAGAAAACCCGTAAATCAATTAAAATCTTGATTTTTTTTCACAAAAATCAGATTTTTTATATATCAAAATTTTTCACCGTTAAGTCACGGTCACGAGTGATTGTGGCCATTTTGCAGAAGTCTAGTCAGACCCTATATGAGTCATACTTTTGTTATCAGATCCTGAAGTCATATATGCACTTGATATATAT